CGGTGGATGATCATGATTCAGGGAAGGAGCGGTGCATTCCGATCCCAGCCTCCCCGTGGCAAACGTGTCTCGTGAGTTTCTTAAAATTGCCCAACTCTGCTGCAAATTCATATAAAGATCTGGATTCAGTAGGCTGTCGATGCATTCTTTCTGTCTCAGCCTTGTTATATTGGGCACACTTATGGGAAACGTACAAAGGGCTTTCAAATGTAAACAATCAAAGCTGTCATGGGGCCATCAAACTTCTTGTAGTGACTGCATAAATATTGGCATAACATGGCTGACTGGTCCAAAACATCACCACCCCGAAATCACAGGTTGCCATGTTTATAAATGTTCCCGAAGTTAAGACAGTAACAATTTCCCCAGATCTGGGTTTGATCTCTAAAATGGTTTTCAGAAAGGAAGCACATGCAAGAGTATTTGAAAGGCATAGATGGCCGAGTGAGTCTTGTTGGCACCTGGTATGGGAGTGCTCCGGATCTGACATTAGCCAGGGAGCGAGCAAAATTCAGGCTGGTGGCGGGGGGTTATTCCTGGGACCCTTGCCTTTGAGCTCCTCCTTTGCTCCCCTCATTTCTCACCTCCTACAGATGGTGCAGGGGACGGGGAGCCTGGAGTTTTGCTCCGCCTGCGTGCACAGCAATTTGACTTGCTTTGTTTTTTGTTGTGTCCCTCTCTAAAGGGTAAAGATGTTCCCACATTGTTGCAGGACTGTACTCCTTTATGCCCCGACAATCATGAGACAGCCTGGGAGACTGAAAGCCTCCCGCCCTGGCCCCTACCCCCGCTGGAGAAAAGTTGCTAGACAGAGCTGGGTTTGTTCCGGGCCTGGGCGGAGCGAGGCTTGGAGAGAATTCCCCTTTTCTGGGGCTGTTAGATGTCTAGATTTTGAAGATTTATATCGAAAGTGACAAAAGCAATGTTATCAGAAGGTGGGTTAAGGCCCCTGCTCTGTTTTACAACCAATGCATAAACAAACAAATGCTGATACCGATGGCTGGGCCGTGGACCACCTCTCTGATGGCTACCGTATGCCCTGCCTTGGACTTGAGACCTTGGACTTGGGACATCTTTGAAATTTAGGATAGGCCAAGAGTGGAAACAAACTTCAGGGCTTCTCTTATTTTTCCTCAAAACAACAAGGCATTCCCCTCCAAATTACTCATTCAGAGTCCTGAGGAATAATCAGGAGTGGTAAAAAAAATATATATGTATATATAACATCACTATAAATAAAGCTTCCCTAAAAAAAATGAACATCTTTCTTTAAAGAAAGGGGCAAAATTATTATTTAAAAACATACCTATAGAATGAAAAAAAATCGCCTTGCAAATCAGCGATCTCAAGCTGGTGACTCTGGCTTGCTCTCCCCTCTTATCTATCGCCTGTTTATTTGGGGAGTAAGGCCCCAGAGCTTGGCTGCGTGTTCTACTGACACGGAAATCAGATGGCTGAAGGTTGTCACGCATGTATTTTAGTCTTCTGATCTATGTCAGTTCGTCTTTAACTACTGACAGGCAACAAATAGAGATACCTGTGTGGCAAGCAGACTTTTAAATTTATTGATTGGCCTAGAATACCGGAGGAGTGCATTTTAGAAAGCCAAGAGGGTGTGAATAGGGAAGTCCGTTGGCTTTGACAAAACCAACAGCGGCAACAGAAGCCTCCCCCGGACTGGACTTGAGAACCTCAGTGTGTGTCGAGCCACTTCGGTTGTTTCGTTGAAGGAAATGCTAGGAATGGAGCTACTGTGACAGCTGTGCCCACGTTTGTGAGGTTGGCTACCGCCTGCCCCACACTCACCGCGCTGAGCAGTGAGGCAGGCGGCTGGCTTGGCAAGCAGAGATCCTGTTTAAGAACAGAAGGATCTAGAATTGAGGTTATCAAATAAAAACTACTGGGGGAAAGGTATAAGGGCCAGAACACCAAGAGCATTAGGATCTAGCATTCAGTAATAAATACAGAGGATCCCCGCCCCCCTGCAGCGGCCTGGGTTGAAAGGGGCCCAGGTGGTTATGGCTGTGAGACAGATAAATAAATATGATACTGAGACATCATTTCCTCACCAAGAGCAGGAAGTGGAATCTCTGCCTATTTGATGTCAATCTATTAACGTGTCAGATACATTGTAAAAAATTATTACATGGTTTTGAAAAAGGAGACATGCAAGGAATGGTGGGGAGGGGGTGGGAATTAAAGGGAAGTGATTTTGTGAATGTTCGAGAACAGAAAAGGGGTAAGAAAGCACACAGGGAAGGTGTGTATTTAACTTAACTTTGTATTTGCCACACGTTTTCATTTAGGGCTGTGTCTGGTAAATGAACACATTTGATATCGCTCATAGATACAATACTGCCTAGAGCCTACGAGAAAGCCAGGGTGCTGAGTCCACTAAAGCTTCTGCCCACGGCATCTGCTTGGGGCGGGGGGAGGAATGAAGCGTGAAGAAGCACTATTTAGAGTGTGTCTCTACATACACTTTACAAACGCTAGCTGCTGCCTTCTGGGGTACTTCCTTTCCGATCAACGTCCATGTAGCTATCTTTTAAATTTCGGTGGCTTTTTAAAACTAACGGGACAGGATGAAAACAGTGCGCAGGATGAAAGCTAACGGACAGGATGAAACCACCTATTTGGTTTCGCGCATCTCCAGCCGGAAGCGCCAGTGCACTCTGTTATGGGTCTGTACCGACGACTCTCAGACAGGAGGCATAGTTCATGGGGGTGGAGGTTATGTATTTGACAGCCTTCTTTAATGCAAACATTTTTCTATAAAAAGGAGACTAGACAGAAGTCAGGGGCAAGCTGTGTTCTACCACTGCAGATAATGCTACTACTACTAACAATGTGTTTTTAATGCACAGTTCTCACAGAAATTTCATTTCATGAATACACTGGTAAGTACATGTTGCTGGGGCTTCCAAAATGTGGCGGATCCCACTGATGGCTCCAACTTGCGAGTGGGCTCAGTTCTGTAATTGGAATGAAAGGAATTTTAACACTATTTAGACAAAGACTCAAATGCAGTGTAAAGGGAAAGCTAGAGTTCCTTAGATGATTTTTTTAACTTAGAGACTTACTTGTAATAGGGGCACTTACACAAGATTTAGGATTGCTTTGTTAAAATAGCATGTATCTGTGTTCACCACTCCACTCCCCTTCAAAGTTTTTAGTAACAATTATTTCTAAAAACGCCTTTCCCTGGGCACTAGCCTTCTCGTAAAGCCAGACACCAAAACCCCATTTTTGTCAGCAACGCTCTATTTTGCCTGCTAATCTTTGGGGCCAAAGCCTTCTTACTACATTGAACTGCCTTGTAGGTTTCTGTAAAAAAGGCCTAATTGTTGCCCAACTGTATTTTTCTCCCAAGTCAAATTCTTCATGAGATAATTGCGTTAACTCCATCCTGAATGTCACTCTTACTTTAAAATTTGTATTTGCCTAAAAATCTGTCATTTGATGCTGAGCTTTTTGCATCAGTGACATCTTCATTGTTGCTTCTTCAGGGGGTGACTGCCTGTCTCCTACTTGGGCTCAGAGAGAAGGAAAAAATATCTCTGAAGCAGCAAACAACTAACATCCAGCACACGGGAGTGGGTTTACTTTTAAGACTTTTGTTAAGCAAAATTAAATGTGGATTTGGGAGATTATCTATACTGGCCCCGAAAGGAAGGTCAAAATGTACAGGGTGTGTGCTATCTGGGAAAACTAAAAAAAAAAAAAAAAGGGGGGGGGAGGAAGACAAGATGATAAACTGGCAACACTCATCAGCAACAAGCACAACCTGTTTTCTTCAAAATAAGGCCTTCGGTCAGAGTTGCAATATTATCTTTTAAAAAAAAGGAACGGCAAATGAAATAAAACAAAAGTCATCGTGTTTGGCTCTATTTTCAAAACAGCCTTGGCTTTCTCTAACATTCTATTAGTGTTCTAGGGGAAGTTGATCAAGAGTTGCACGAATTTGTGTCATTTTAAAATAGGTCAACGCTGTTCATGAAGGTAGCTCAAGACTTTCTGAGTGATACACAGTATATTTTAGGGGGTAGATACCAATCAATCAAAGCACGGCCTTTATCCCGTTACTTTTTGGTGTGTATTTCATGAGCGAAGGTGATCTGAAATCATTACCAGCTTGTCTCAGTGGAGGAACCTCCGCTAAGTGTTCACAGGGACGTGGGATTTAATAACAGAGTTTAAACACAGATATGGACTTGGAGTTCTGTGAGGGGTGGGTTTTTCTTTTTCCTACTGAGGAAAAATTACCTTCAAAGTTAAAACACAAACAACTTTGATTTGTCCAAAGTGTTGATGTTAAATCTCGTCAGGCCTTGGTAACAAGAAAATTATGGTGTGCACGAAAAGAAGGGAAAATAATCAATTTTAACCCCCAAGCAAGAATTGCTGATCTTTACCATTCAATGCCTAGGCGCCCAAGCCACCCCCTCCGCGCCTAGTTTTCCTGGCTTATTTCCCACTAGATGGGCACCAGGCTGGATCAGACGCTCGGGTCCACGCTGAGAAGGTCCTGCTTTGTGCCTGGGAATTTTGTTTGTTTTCACCAGAGGGCAATGATAGCTCAACTCATTTAAAAACCGAAAACTTTGGTGATGGGGTGGGGGTGGATTTGAGAGGTTATCACGTACATTGACATTAAATATTGCTAATTATTAAAAGGGACTGGCCTCCCGCCTCACGAAACGGCCTATGTTTCACTTTGAATTATTGCCTCCCTACTCCTCCATTAATCCTTCCTCTGGAGAAAAGGATGCATTTTACACTTCTAATGTGGTGTTGGGCCCAGTTAAACTGCACACTAAGAAACTGAGTACAGAATCAAAAAAAAATGCAGTTTATTATTGTAGATTATTCTTTCTCTTGATATAACCAGAATTGAAAATGAAAGGAAAGCACATAGGAACATCACGCGTAGTTGGTTAGTAACTCAAGGTATAAAACAATTTTGCACAGCAAAATATGTAAAAGAAAAGTAACTGACAAGATTTTTTTATATTTATTGTGGTAAGATTTACTTTTCATTTTTTTTAAAGACAGGATGTCAGTCCCTGAAAATAACATTTACTGATTATTGCCTTGAAAACTGTGGATTTTTTTAAGTTACAGAAAATCCAGTTCTGCACCACAATACAACTGTAAAAAAATCTGCATCATTTTAAAACTGTGCAGTAATGCCATTTTTATAACTGCATAAATTTTATTAGCGTTCTAAACAGTTTTGCAATTTTTTTGTATTATATGCTTGCAGGTTATATCTTAGTGCAATTCAATCCAAATACTTTAATTTTGAAAAAAACATACATTTTGAATGTAAAATACCCCTACAGTTATAAACAGGGGTGTTTCCCCTTTTAATACTTTGGTTTTCAATACAGTCAGTGGTATAGCAAAGACTACACATACCCAACTTATATTTAAGTTGCAAGCACATGCTGTATAAGCTACTTTTTAAACAGTCCCCTTGCAAACTCTACCCCCCTTAACATCACAACAGTAAACAATTTAGTGCATCAATCTTTTAAAAAATCTACAGCTAAACAGACCTAACTCTTTCAAATTTATCTATAACATTCCTTTATCTGTAGCATACATTTTAACTGGGCTAACAGATTATAAAAACTAGAATTAAATTATATACTAGAAACCCATAGCATTCCACATTTGACAATGACCAAAAGCCAAAAAAAAAAAAAGATAAAATAAAAAAAATAAAATAAAACAAACAAACAAAAAAAAAACCCAACGGGGCAGATTTCTTTTTCTTAAAAAATAAATTTTAGACTGCTTTCGGCAACAGCACAATTTGAGTCCCCAAAGTGAGGTGTCATCTTATTAAAAAGGAAACATTAAGAACCCTTTCATGTGTGCCATGTCAGATTTTTACCCCCTTCTGGCATCTTTGATAAGGAGTGCCTTCAGTGCATTTACAATGGGAAGCTGAAGTTCTGAGTAACTCAAAGCAGGTTTGGAGCAGATGCAAACTTTCATGGGAAGAAGGCTCTAGGGTTGCACGTTTTCATTCTGAACTCAAAGAAGTCATGAGGCAATAAAACAAAAGTATGAATGCCATGCCATACGTCTTCGAACGTCCATTTCCAAGCCAAAAGGAAAAAAAAAAGAAAAATAATTATACCGTACATGTCCAGCATGCAGGCTTTCTTTTATTAATATAATGTCTCTTTTCCATAAAGTCTTTGACACAGTTATAGTTCATTGTTGCTAAGAGAAAGTAGCAAGCATAATAATGCATGAGATGAGAATGAGTTTTTTAATGGCAGACTAAACTCTCAGCTTTGGCATCGTAAGGCCAAAACTCGCAAGTCATACCCAGAAGGTTGATGCAGGCTTGACTGTGGCAGGTTCATGAGGATTTTTCTCTATTTTAGCATAACAGTGCTAAAAAAAAAAACCCGATGGAACTCAGCACGCTGCAAGTCTCTAACATTTCACATTTTTTTTTCCTTTGCAAGCTCAATCTCACATGAAGAACTCAGGAGGAGAAAAAAAAACTTAAACTTTTTTTTCTTTTATCTCAGAGGAGATGAGTGGAGAGGGAGTGAGGGTGGAGGTTTGGTAAAAACGGTAACACAGCAAGCTCCAAAAATTAAAATGAAAAAAAAAAGTCCAAACAAAATGAAAACACACACAGAAAATGGAACACCAGCTCATGAACTGAAGAAGAAAAAGAAAAAAAATATGTAAATGATGCAGGCTTCAAAGGTGAGCATGAAGAACTCTGCAGAGATCTTTGAACATTGTGCAAGTGGGGGGGCGTTAAAAAAACAAGCTACCAAGTTATGGAGAATTTCAGATTGGCAATCCATGAGCCAGACATCCATTCCCTCCCCAATTTAAAAAACAGCCACCCCCCACCAACCAACTAGGAGCAGGGTTGTGTGTGTGCACGTGTGGGGGACAATTGGGGGGGGTGTGGAACTCGGTAGGGGAATGGGCAAGGTGGTGGTGAGCATGGCTCTGGAACTAGCAAGCCCACACCCGAGTGGGACCCCCACGGAGCACTTATCAAGGTGGCTAGCTGGGGTCGCGTGTCAGACTCACATGAAAAACTCGGGAGAGGACGGGTTGTCGCTGCTGGAGCCGTTTTCTCGGAAGCCGCTGCTCACCAACTTCTCGTATTTCTCCTTGTACGCGTCCCTCTCGCGCACGAGCCTGGAGATCTCCTGCTTGAGGTGGTCGACCTGCTGCAGCAGCTGGTTCTTCTCGGACTCCAGGACGTGTCTCTGCTGCACCCTCTTGAAGCGGCAGGACTGGGCATAGCCGCGGTTTTTCAGGGTCCGCCTCTTCTGCTTCAGCCGGATCACCTCCTCCTTGCTGACCCCGCGCAGCTGCCGGTTCAGCTCGCGCACGGACATGGTCACCAGCTGCTCGTCGGAGAAGCGGTCGTCGAAGTGCAGGCCTCCGGCGGTGTGGTGCGGGTGCAGGGTGCCCCCCGCCCCCGCCGCGCCCCCGCCGCCGCCGCCGCCACCTCCGCCGCCGCCCCCGGCGCTGGCCGGGCCCCCGCCGCCCGCGCCGCCCGCGCCAGCGGCAGAAGCGGACGCGCTGCCCGCGGCGCCCGGCGCGCCGGCCGTCGGGTGGTGGTGGTGGCCGGCGGGGTGGTGGTGGTGGTGGTGGTGGTAGTGCGGGCCCGCGCCGCTCTGCGCAGCGGCCGCGGCGATCACGGCGGACACCACGGCGGCAGCGGGGCCCATCTCTTCGCCGCTGCTGCCCAGGGAAGCGCCGGCGCCGGCCCCGGCTGCCGAGGCCAGCTGCTGCGCCCCGCGCGCATAGCCATCGAAGCCGCTCTGGAGCTGGTGACTGTTGCTGATGAGCGCCTCGACTGCGTCCTCTGGGCTGAAGCCCAGCGCCTCCGGGTTCAGCTGCTGCGGGTAGCCGGTCATCCAGTAGTAGTCTTCCAGGTGCGCCTTCTGCTCACTGCCCGAGCCCGGGCTGGGCGCCGAGAAGCTGGGAGAAGGCGGCACCGAGCTGCAAGGCGTGCTCATGGGGGTGGAGGACAGCGAGCCCCCGGCGATGAGACGGCCGCACTGGCTGATGATGCGGTCGGTCTCCACCGGTTCCTTTTTCACTTCAAACTTCATCAGATCGAAGTCATTAACATATTCCATGGCCAGGGGACTGGTGGGCAGGTCGGAGTTGCTCATTGCCAGTTCTGATGCCATTCTCCTGCCGCCGCCGCCGCCGCTCCGCCAGATGGGCTGCAGGAGAGGGGCCAGCGGGCTGTGCTGGGTGGCCAGCGGGTGAGCCAGCTTGCCGGGCTGGGGCGCTTCTAGCTAGCGCGGCGGTGGCTGGCCCGAAACCTCCGAGCGCGCACACACCCCCCCGCCCTTCCCGCGCCCCCCGCGTCCGCCCTCCCTCCCCCCTGCTCACGCCAATGTGCTCGCTCGCCCCGGCCCCTCCTCGCCTGCTCGCCTTCTTGCGCGCCGAGCCAGAGGCTTCAGGCTTGGGAAGGTCCTCCGCGGGTTGCGGCGGCGGCGGCGGCGGCGAAGCCGGTGGAGCCCGGCCCGGTGCGCGGCGTCCCCAGCTCGGCGCTCCGCTGCGCTCTTTGCATAAGGAGGGCTCGCCTAGCCGGCCGAGCTGCAGGCGGGGCGCGCGCGGCAGCAGCTCTGGGCTGTCGGCTCGGCTGGCGGCTGTCCGGGCGGCGCAGGCCTTGGCACGGGGGAGTTAACACTTCATGCTTCTCGCCTCCTCTTCTGCCTGACTCTTTTATTTATTTTTTTTCTTTCCTCTCTTTCTCCCTCGCGCGCTCTCTCCGTGCAAAGTGCAAGACAGAGGTGTAGTCGGCTGGAGGAAAGGGAGGGGGGAGTTTAGTTCTTTCTTGCTTTTTTAAAAAAAGCAAAATTGCGAAGTCCTGGGGAATAGCGAGGCAGGGAGCAAAAGGGGGGTGGCTGAGCCGAAGAGCAGCCGGAGCTACAGCTCGAAGATGAAAAAAGATTATAAAGCCTCTGATCCAGCAAGAAGAGTTTAAAGCAATTGCTGAGTTTTATAGCACTTGTGACGTCAGGCCCAGATAGGAAATTGACTGCTACTCCGGGCCAATGGGAAGCAGCGAGAGCGGCCGCGATTAGCATAATAGTATAGAAACAAGGAAACTTTTCCGAGCTGTCAATCAGGGCCCAATCAGCTGACTGTCAGCTGGGACGCACGGGCTTAACCCTTCCAACGCCGCTGTCTCCCGGGGAGAGGGCAAAACCAGGCGCAAAGTTTGGTGCAAGAGGGGAAAGAGTTTTCCAGAGGGCCTGCGGGAACTCGGGAGGATCGAGAGAAAGGTTTGCTTTACTTCGGAGTTCGACAGAGACTTGCCTTCCGGAGCCCCAACTGGCCCACCCTTCACTCTGCCTGACTGCCCTCCCCTGCCTGCCTCGGTGCCCCGGATTGTGAATTAGCCTGGCAGCCTTCCCTCCTCGTTCCACCTTCAGCACCCAGGTGCCTGCCTCGGGGACCTTCCTTTCCCCAGCCTGGCTGTGCCCGAAGCTCAAACTTGGCCCCAACTCTTTGTCCCTCTCCCGGTGCCTGCGCGCGGAGGTACAGGGGTCCCGACTGCACGCAGGACACTGCTCAGCTGCCCTGCGGCCAGGGTGATGCGGGGTCCGCGGAGCAAGTCCGTTTTAATCACCCTCTTTTATAGGAGGTGAAATAAGTTGTTCAGGGGCCATTACGCTCAGGGACAGACTGTTCGCAAACGTGGTGTACCCTAGGGGGTAGCGAACGCCTACGAGAGTTAACTCCGGGAAAGCTCAGAGTCAGGTCAGTCCCGCTCAGTCCTCTCGCTTCCGACTCCAGCTTGAGTTTGACCTTTGAGATTCATATTCGTTTCTCTCTCTCTCTCTCTCTCTCTCTCTCTCTCTCTTTCTCTTCTCTCCCCCCTCCTTCCCTCTCTCCTCCTTCCTTCCCTCTCTCCCCTCTTGTCCCCCTTCACTCACACACACATTCTTACACACACATTCGTACACATGCTCAACCACCCCTATGAAATCTGACCGCGGTTATCAGGGTCCGCGCGCCCTTTGCACTTTTACATTTCACTAGTTATCTTACACTCAATCGTGGCGAGGAACGAGGGGGAAAAACAACACCCCAGCCTTTGCAGCTCTCCGCGAAGGGTTAAATTTTAAACCGCGGTTTCTCGGACAAGCCCGGAAACCCAGAGTGGGGGTGGGGTGGGGAACTGCTTCTCCCCCTCCCCGTTGCAGATGCTAATAACTGTTCAATGTTCTAGATCGATTCTTTTAAAGCTTATGCAAAAAGAAAAAGGAAAGAGAAGAAAAAGAACTAACAACTCTGTTTCTAAGATTTTAAAGCGATAGGCAAGTCGGAGACACTGAGATTTATTTGGGGGAAAGCAAGAGCGCTAGCGGACCCGGCGTTTGGAAGACCAGCCTGCCTGCTTGCTTGGATGTTGGAACTGTTGATTCCTCCAATTAATGAAATGCATTTAGTGTTAGTAATATACACACTTTTACTGTCTGGGTGGGGGAGACGTTAGGAGGGTGCATTAAAAAAAAAATTCTGAAAAGCCTGCAAAAGGATGGAAGAGTGAAAACTATTGTTGGACCGAGTTGGTTTTTACCTCAACAGCGCCACCTTTCGGCAAAGGTCAGTTGAAATTGATCCGTGTCCAGTTTTGTTGATGAAGTGAAAAGAAACTGGTTTCCCAAAATGGGAGGAAACAGGCACAGAAAGTTAGTATGACTGTGGTGGGAGAACCCAGCCTTGTAAGAAAGGGGCTGAAGATAGTGGGGGCAGATGTGAGAGTCATTTCCCCCCCACTGTGCCCCTTGATTGTCGATCAAAGGGCCAGGGGACATAGAAGCCTTCGGAGTGTAATTCTGGCTGAGCGACTTTTAGCAAGTGGACCCCCGTAACAGGGCCGCAAACCCTTTAAAAGTGCCAGGATGGATTTCCGGCGGGCTTTATGGCAATATCAATAGAATTAAAGTTACTTGTAATTCAGTGATAAATGAGATACCTCTCGTAAGTAAGATTAAGTGCAGTGCTATAAAGTTGTTTATCTGAAAAGTAATTCTCAGAAAACCTGACTTCTGACACTTAGTCATATATTAAGCCCGCCTCTTGAACGTTGCACTTGAGACGCTCTCACCCACCCAGCAGCATACTTTACTGTTTATAACCAAAACTTAGGTGTCGCTCACTGGCTTTAAACACCAGATTAGACTTGTGTTCATTTCTCTGATGCTAGCGACCTTCAGTGTCAGCAGACCCTGAGTGCTTAAAGAGATACCCCGCCGCCACCTCCCCCCCGAAAGAGGTTTGTAGGCACATTATAATCCTAAAAAGCTAGTGCTGTTTGTATTTTCTAGAAAAAGACCTTTTCTTTTCATCATTACTGCAGCGAATCTGTTTGTAAGGGTAGTTTGGTTTTATGGAAATGCTTTGTAGGGATGGAGTGAAGTATGTCTATTACCAGTTTGGAGAAGAAAGATTGATGGCTATGTCAATATTTAGGCAACCGAACAGAATTCCTTTGCTTTCCACCTCTTAAACAATATTTCACTTACTAATGAAGTTAAGGGATTATAGCTTATTTATTCAGAGGAAAATCTTGAACTATGTAAACATATTATGTCATTTAGCATTGTTCACAGTAGTAGTTTTCTGGGCTCTTTAAAAATCATTAGCCACAAATGTCTGAAGTTTATAATTTTTCATGTAAAACACAAATTTAAATGCAGTTAGGAGGAATTGATTCTTTTTTTGTTTATGATAACTGTTTTTTATCCTTTTGTATCACTTTTTTGTTAAAAGCTGTAAGAGATGTTATTTGCCTCTCATGAAAGTATTTTTGGCCAGGCACACTGAAACTTCTGGATTCATAAACAACATTTATAAACAAAGTTTGCTCCTGATGAAGACCATGCGATAGCAGTTCATGGCCATGCACCTAATTATTGCAATTATATATCATTTCTAGACGTTAAATGCCCATGTTTGGGCAGTAAATGTATTATTATCTGCACATTTTTCGTGGTTTATTTTTGTACATTGCTGTCAAGTCATGGTATTTTTCCTCCTCTTATTGCAGAGTATTTTACAGTCTCCTCATTTTTCTCAGGAAAAAAAAGAAGAAAAGCGAGGGTCAGAATTATTTTTTAGATGTGTAGTAGGGGTACTCTCAGGCTTATCACTTAATTCTCATTTTTGTCCTTTTTACTTTATTATTTACTGATTCACAGGGGTGTCTAAACATTTACAGTTCTCTGTGAGTGGAGTTTCTTTCCCAACAATTGAGCTCTCTCATTTTAATTAGCACTATTCAGGTTTTTGATTCTGTACAATTACAGCCGGCCACATTTCCCGACTTCGTTGCTCACATTGTTTGTTTCACTTCTCCCCAAGCCCAGCTAATCCAAATATGACAGGAGCCGTGTTTCCTGCTGCTTAATATCCCCTTAGTATATATATATATGCTGGTAATCTTCATAGAACAATACGGAGTGATTCCGAAACCGTGCATTTGTCATTATTGACCAATTCCAACCAGTGGCATTAAAGTTTCTGAAAGCCGTGAATATTTATAGAAGAATTTTGGGAGGGAGGAGGGCATGAGTCGAATCATGTAGATGATTGCGAAATAGTCACATCCAAAACACAGTTGTAGATTCATGTCAGTACATACGCAACTATATGCAAAAAGAAGAAAGATCCTGTTCAGATCCAGATCACAATGATTGAAAGCTAAGAAACAATGTATGTTTTTCCTAATGGCGAGTTACCCTGCTCAAGTATGTGAGGCTGGAATCAGACATAGATAACCTAAAAAAGAACAAAACGCATCAAGTGTGCTGGCTGCGCCCTTTGCTTCTCCAGAGGCTGCTTTGTAGGTACAGAGCTAGCCAGAGTCCACCAAATTCCACTGTGAGACCGACTAAAGGGATTTGAGAGAAGTAACTGAACGAAAAGGCACAGACTGGTTTTAGGTTGGATGTTAGATACAGCCTTTTAACAGTCTTTAGTTAGCAGGGTAAGTAAATCACAAATCCTTGTTAGCAGATTCATGGAAGAAAATTAATGGAATCAGATGAGATAATCTGATAAGGGCAGACTTGCTGGGGAAACAGTCTTGCCTCATATTGAAGAATGTGAAACAACAGTCTGATTACCAGGAGTCGTTATGAATAGGTGAATTATGCGCTAAATAATAAGCAGAGTAATTCAGCATTTATTAATTCTTTTCTCCTTAAGCGATTCACAGTTGTAAGTTAAAGCCACTCTCTCTTTGAAGACACATCTTTTATAATTTTTATTGGAGGTAATTTATTATTTGCATTACCTGTATTTACCTCATCATGGAACATTTTGCATTCAAATTTATGTAATGCATTATGCTTGAGAATATATTTCTACCTGATTAGCATAAATAGTCACTTACCTCATGAATTACTAACAAAGTTTATCTTAAAATATAGGTCTTTTTATTAAGTGGAACACAAACATATGTACAATAAATTCTGATTTTCTGGTGCCGTTAAAGAACAACTCGCATTTGGATTCAGCAAAATGAGGCTGTAAGGGTGGGGGGTAAGCTACAGAAGGAGGCGATATTCAGGCAAGTGAAGTTGGTAGGTTTCTTTCAAGGGGCTATTATTTAGAGGGGGTGCCTGCCTGGGGTGGGCTGGGGGCAAAGTGCTGTAAAAGGGCCTGGGCTCTCCCTACACTGTTTAGATTGCTTACTGGCTGATCTCGAGGTGGACTGCATGTTCTGAAAATGCCTGCAACTCATCTCCTATACTTTTGTGGAGGACCATGATAGCAAGTACATCTCATGGACAGAGTGTGGGTTTGCTTATTTTAGGTCGAGTTTGTTTGTTTGTTTGTGTCTCCCTAGAGTTCCACCAGAGAACACAATACACATTGTTTGTTTTGCACAAGAGATGTGAAAAACCCAGATGTTTTCTCAAGTGAGAATTCCCGGGCAGGTCTCCCAAAACGTCGTGGTCCGTTCCCTTACCGTTCTTCACCTGAAAGACACCCAATCTTTCCAGCAGGCAGGAGGCGATTAATAGTTTTATGCAAACATGAACATTTGCATGCAAGGACTTTTATTGGTTTTAGGGCAACAGACAGAAAAACAAAAGGACAAGCCTCTTTGCCCACTCAGGCCATTCCAAATTAGCAGGTCCCCAAGCTGCCTTTTTTCTCTAGTTCTGGTTTCAATGCATAGCCCTCCCCTTAGGGGCTGCTTCAATTAGGGACTGCCTGTGATTCACTCCTCCATTGTCATCCCGTTTGGTCTTATTCACAACTGACACCCATGAGGGAATTTGTCTGAAAGCATTCAACCCTTCACACAATCTTACTGGGATGAAATCACAACTGATTTTTTTAAAGGCACTAATGAAAAGAGGGACCTGATATTGGGACAGTGTTTATTAGGCTGCTTCTTTTATACCTGGAAACTCGGAGGATGAGTTGTCGGTGGTGCTAGGTCTGAAAGGTTGGGTCACTCTCCTGCCCCTGGGGATGGGGTGACTCACAGGACCTGTTCCGGAGGCATTTAGCAGCCATTCAACCTGGGAAATGGAAGCTGGAGTTTTTAGAAAACACAGACTAAACTTAACTGCTTGTGTGATTACCAGGGGGAGTGTGTTGATGCAGGTGATTGCTGAACTGGTGAGCTTCTGAATGAGGTTGGCCGGGGCCTGAGGGAAGGGACCCCTTGTGGCTCTGTTTTAGATCTCGGTTCTTGGTTGCATCATGGGTTTTGCTGAGCTTTCTCACGTGGCTGTTCTCTCCGTTGAACACACCCAAGTGCCCAGGGACACTCTCCCAGCATCATGCTTCACGATAGTGCTCCTGATCGGACAGAGAACAGAGAATTGGGCTAAATAACCCTCCTCACATTGAAGCTTAAAGTCGCATCTATAGACCTTTTGCTGGTGTTTTTATTTAGTTATTTTAAAGCAGCGCTGCATGCAATCTGTTAAATACATACATTTGAATAAGACAGAAATAAGAAGATATCAAACAAAAGAACTACTATGTCGCATCTGCACCCTGATTGAATCCCTGTCTCAGGTGTTACCATTTGTAATAACTGAGGCCTATGTATATATATCTTTTACAGAATGGAACCATGATATACATACAGTTCTTTAACTGGGGTTTCCTACAAAACATGTATCTACCTAAACCGCAAAAAGTGGCTTGAAGCACCCCTCTTTGTGTTGGCAAAATTCATGTAATAGACTCTCAGACTGGGGTGGGTGGGGAGTTTAGAGATCTGGCCTTAAACCACTCCTACCAATCAATGATCAGAATCTTTTTACATTCTGGCACAGGAGTGAACAGCATGCAGGATCAGTTTTACTAGGCCCAGCAGACACGGTGCCTAGGACCCATGAGACTGTTTGGAGCCCAGGAAAACATGTAAGTTTCTTCTAAAATCAGAGGGAAAGAAATGAATATAATGTTGTATGGATTATATCTGTCATTTTACCAACATAGTTATATAATTAAATTTTTATGGAAGAAGGGGACCACAGAAACTGAAATGACTAGTACCCACATAAGTCCAAGTGTGGTCCCCACAGCATGCACTTGATTGCCTCCAGTGACAGGGTGCTCACTACCTATCAACTTTACCTTACATCCTCTCCATCTATTTTCCTGCAGTTCTTGAGGTTGTCAGAAAATCTTACTGTTTGTTTGTTTGTCTAGTACGAAGTTGTATCCCCATCTTCTGTACACAAGTCCTAATTTCATACACTCATGAGGCCAGGTATAATGAGTCTGGATATCCCTCATGCTCTCTAAGGAGTAGAAGGCAACCAAGGTGATGACACCTCCCTGCCTTTGGTGTTCCATTCTAAACATAGTCAGTGCCTTTAGCATTCCACTTGTGCCTGAATTTTAAGTACCCCTGTATCCAGGCACCTGACTCCCAGGTGGTCCCACCTAGCTATTGTCCTCCTTGGAGGGTTCAGGTCCTAGAACTGAACCCAGATCGCCAGGTGTGAGCCCCTCATCACAGAGAAACTGCCAGCCTCCGCCTCCCAGAGCCACGGTCTGTCTGCTGCACCTGCAGGCCATAATCGCGCCAGCCTCTCGGCAGACACATAACACCGGTGACTCATCATGTGCGACCTCAGGTCTTTTCTTCTCACATTTCCCCATCTTCTCTTTGTGTGCCCATCCGTTTGAACCCAAGCACAGAAATGCACACCACGCCCAGTAGGCTTCTCATTAGGTTCAGCCTGTTCCCTGCTTCTCTGAATCTCTATGGATCTAGAAAGTGCCATCGACTGGTTTTAATCTGCTTCCCAGCTTTGTGTCAGCTGCAAATGAAATTGATGTGTGTGTGCGTTTTTTTAAGTGTCTTAACTTCTCTGAAGCAGGTCCCTCACCTGCAAAATCGGATACAGTTGGGATCAGAGATTGTGCCTGTTGTGTGAAGCCATGGAGGAGCTTCGTGAATGGTTGGTTGCTCTTTGAATTTCCTACCACCTCCCTGAGTTGTTGGTAAGAGCATTGGAAGGGACGAAGCCTCTGGCACTTCAGTAGAGACTGCCCTTCCCAACCCTAATCATTACACAAAATGACCTCCCCGATTATTCAAGTCTCCCCGTGGACCTTTTAAATTAAAATGGTCTTATAACATCTCTAATAATCGGGGGAATGCATAGCAAAGCCATGATAAGATATCACTTCGCACCTGTAACGGCTGTTATCAAAAAGACAAAAGATAAGCGTTGGTGAGGATGTGGCACAAAGGGAAGCCGTGCACACTGGTGGTGAGAGTGTACGTTGGTGCGGCCACTGTGGAAAACAGTATGAAGCTTTCTCAAAAGCTAAAAACAGAACTACCGTATGGTCCAGAACCCCCACGTCTGGTGTCCATTCAGAGGAGGTGAACCCAGGACCTGGAAGAGCTCCTGCAGAATTCACTGCAGCAGTGTGCACAGTGGCCCGAGTCTGAGTTGCCACCCTCAGGGAGTGTGTGGTGAAGAAAACATGATGCGATAACCACTGTGGGACATGACGCAGCCTTAGAAAATAAGGAAATCCTGGCCTTCGTGACCACCTGGGTGAACCCGAAGGATATTATGCCAAGCGAGATAAGCCAGACACAGAAAGACTGATACTGTACGACCTCACTTATGTGTGGAATCTAAAACAAGTCACATTGATAGAAGCAGAGAGTAGAATGGTGGTTGTCAGGGGCTGAGGGTGAGGGAAATGGGGAGGTGCTGGTCAAAGGTACAGACTTTCAGTTACGCAGGGTGAGTAAGTTCTAGAGTCTCAATGTATAGCGCAGTGATGACAGAGTACAGTTACCAGAGCGTTGGATCCTTGAACTTTGCTAAGAGGGTAGCTCTTGTGTTCTTGCTACACACACACACACACACACACACACACACAGGAAATAGTAACTATGTGAGGTAATGTATATTTTAAATAATTTAAGGTAATCAGTTCACAAAGTATACATACAGCAAAACATTACATTGTGCACCTTAAATATATATAATTTCTATTTGTCAATTATACTCCAATAAAGCTGAAAAAAACTGAATTGGCCTATTTGGTAATTGGGGTAATTTGAAACTAAATTACCCCATCTGAATGTCGTCCACATATCCTTCTAATTAATTCTAAAATAACTTTACTTTCCTATGGTGTAGACAAAGCTCTCTGTCGAAGAGGGCAGATTAGTTAATTCTCTGGTGTGTCGCCCATCCTGATCTTCACAAAACTTTGACCTGTCAGAAATGTGCAGGAGTTGTCTAACGTTGGGACCTCGGAGACTAGTAAAAAATAGCTGGAACCTAGAAAAACTATGCAGACGAGCTCTGTTTACGTTCAAAGCATCTCTGAGATCTGTTCTTTCACCCTGGTTTTTGTTGTTGCTGTTGTGTACGTTGCCGGTTTCTCTGTCATTCCTGATGCCAGTTTTGAAGCTGGGAGGCGCCGAGCTGGTTTCTTGAACAGAAATTTCACAGTTTCCAGTGACCACCTTTGAGCTGCAACAGGTTCCCCCTGGTCTCTCGAATGGCTTTTGCAGGAGCTGTCTTCATGGCTCTCATCTCAACCCCTGTCAGAGCTGCCTGGGAGTGAGAGCAGCAAGGAGCCTGTGAGGTATTTATGACCTGCCAGCTCTGGTCCTGCCTAAGGCCTTGGTGCTGACTGGCTCTGGAGGAATGACGGAGACTCTTCAGACAAGTGTCACTGACTGTGGACTCCAGGCTTCATGAGGAGCTGGTCAGGGACAAATGATGTGGGTGCTGGCAGGTCAGGGTGGGGGGAAGGAGGGCCCTCCTGAAGACAGGCTATTCATTCACCCTGTGACCTCAGCAAAATGCTTCACTGTCTTCCTCTAACTCATCCCCCCCGCCCCCAGGCTGCAAAGGGACTAAACTGCATGAGGATGTTTAAAAAAAAAAACCTCTGAATTGCACGGAGGGAATGTTTTCATCCCTGGAGGTTCAATGGAGGTAGGCAAACAGGGACCTGACACCCGTCCACCAGACGAAGCTGAGGAGCTGGCTGTTGTAGAACACTGCTGGGGCAGCATGATAAAGTCGGACGCCTTTGGGGGCGGAGTAGCAGGGCCACACCCTCCCTCATCTCCAAGCCACAGGGGGCTGTGGTTTCAGAGCCTCTGGTGGCAGAGCAATGAGAGCGGAAAGCATGGATTTCTGAGGGTCACCAGGCAGGCAAGGAGACAGATTCAGGAGATGCTGTACTTTGGTACCAGGCCGGCAAGTGTGTGAATGCTTCTCCATCCCAGGAGTGAAATGTGGGCTAGTCAGTTGACCAAGCTGGGCCTCAGTGTCCTCCTCCATCAAAGGTCAAGAGGTTTTTTTGTGGTCACAACGGGCATGTGCATTGGTGCTTGGCACATGTCACCCTGGTGGGTGCTCAAACGGAAGAAATCTATTGGCCTGTGCCAACATCTGTGTTGATATTCTTCTCATACATTAATGATTCTAGTGCATAGGAGGGACTCAGGAAATCTTTTCTTTTCTTCTGTGTTTAATGCTTTTGACTTACAGTGACTCTGAACCTTGAGTAGATCGTTTTTTCTCCCCTGAGCTTTGCAGAATTTGCTCACCTGGAACTCCACTCCTCTGCATCTTCCCTGCCTCTGTCCTATCTCCTGACTGCTTCCTACTCTTCTTCAGGTCTTGGATTTTTCTCTCAAAGGGCTTACCTGAGTGCTTGTGCCCACTGGCTCCGAAGCCCGCTAGGTGTCCAGTCTCTGCACTCACTGCCCTAAAGTCCCCCTGGCACCACATTAGTTCCCCACTGACCCTGTGTGAAGCCAAAATGACACCTCTCATTGCTCCATCTCCTTCGCTCACTGCAGTGCTTGGCATACAGCAGGTACTCCATAAGTGTTCATTAAATGAAAGTGACTAAACACACGCTGAGATTGCCACCTCATTTTTGAAGTAATAACCCACACAGAATGTGCTGCCAAATGTCCCAGAAAACGTGACTTCGACAGGGACAGCGTGTCTGGTTTCCGTGTCGCAACAAGACAGTCTTACCCTTACCTCTCCCTAGTCCAACGGGCCCATCCCTCAATTACCAGGATGCTTATCTTGTTCACTAATTAGCCTATATCTTCCCCAGATGCAGCTGGGTGGAAAACGTGGTTCAGACGTTTGGGACCAGAAACCAAAGTGGAAATCAGTACCTCTTGCTGGGATGAAATTCTGGCTGAATGAAGGGATGCAGTGAAATATCTGGGTAGGAAAGGTGCATGGTTCCTCTCCCAGCACCAGCTGCCGCCGCCAGAGACGGCCCTTTTCAGCCTTGAGTCACAGCTGCTTCCAGGCACATGGACACTATTTTGTAATCATCAAATAATATGCTGGCCCATCCCCGTGTTCACATGCCCAAATCGTGCTCATCTCCAAGGCGCAGCTCACGTGCAAGGCTGCACAAGAAGTGCAGCACAGGGACTGGCCTCTAATAAGCATTTAGCAAAGGCTCGTTGTTGATGCAATGCCACCGCCTCCCAGAAGCCTCACTGGCTCCTGCCTTTCATTTGCAGATCCCCACAGGGATGGACAAATGGACAAGTAGAGATACACTGTTTCAGCCCTGGCTGGTGTGGCTCAGGTGGTTGGAGCATCGTACAATTAACTGAACAGTCGTGGGTTCAATCCTGGTCAGGGCACATGCCTAGGTTACAGGTTCAGTCCCCACTCAGGGCACGTGTGAGAAGCAACCAACTGATATTTCTCTACCTCTCTCCCTCCCCTTGTCTCGGAAATCAATAAGCATGTTCTTGGGTGAGGATAAAAAAATAAGGAAAAAAAATTAAAAGAGCCATATTTTAAAAAAAGATATACTATCCTAACTATAAAGTAATGTAATGTGGTTGACTGTAGTATAGTGTAATATAATATAATATAACATAAGATAATATAACAGCACTGTATATCATACCATACTGTATCATATCACGTGGCAGGCTTTGGGAAGGGCAGCCCCGCTTTGTATCCATCTCGAGAACAACCGTCCCCAGTGTGGAGCCTCAGAGGTGTTTGGTGAGGATGGGCAGCGGACCAAATGAATCATTTTACCTGTGCGGTATGACGCCTTTCATCTAAAAATCCTGTTTCTGCCATGGCGATGTCATCACTATTACAGTCCTATACTTGTCTCAGTCACACAAGAAGAACACGTGACTAAAAGGACAAGACCGGAGACAGATCAAGTGAGCTGAACTCTGTAGACCTGCAGCTCCCTGGCTGCCAGTGGCGGTGGGCGCCCACAGGTGTCGGGCTGAACCTGCTCACCTTAGACTGTCCACCCGGCACTCTCGGTGGAACCCACCGAGGAAGTCGGTTTTACGGGTGGGTGGAAAAGGCGTGAGATGGCGAATGCGGCTGATGCAGAGCTTTCCTAGCTTCATCTTTTCCTTTTCTTTAAAAAAAAGTCTATTTTCTCAAATGTCTGTGGCCATCCCTAAATTGGCATTGGCTGCACACAGACATGCATGGGTCCGTTTGCAGGTTGGTGTTGCGTGTTGAAGTGCGTGGGATGTGCTGAGAAATGAAGACTTTGTGTCTTGTGCAACCAGGAGCCTGTCTCCTCTCCTGACCTCACAGCACACACAGGAAGGCCAATAAAAACCCTCGGGTTTCCTCCCTCAGGTCCTCCTCCCACCTTACAGCCTCATGTTGTTGGTGCGAGACACTTAATCAAAGCACAAACAACTCCAATAATGCCCCTGAAATTATGTTCACATCTGCAATCAGAATTGCTAATATTTCGCCTCCCTCTACCATCCTGGTATCATCTGATTTCAGGTCCCTTGTGGTGACTAAGAGTCTTGTCATTAATATAACACCCACCAACTTCATTGAAATTTACTGTCAGAAAGGTCTGTTTCCAGAAACTCCCTGAGCCGAATGTAGCTGCTGTGCTGGTCCCTGTTGGCCACTGCACAAGTCTGTGTGTTTTCTTGGTAGTGGAATCACTTCCCAAATGTGGACACCGACATGAGATATCCATATTTACGTGACAGGGAGGTAAGGCTTGGCTTAAAGCTACCTGCTGGCAGAATTCAGCTTCTAGAAGCTAGCACTCTATTGCCCACATTCTTACCTTTTCAACAACACTGGTGCGATTTAGTAGTGATGTAATAAGAAGGGTGATGATAATAACAATAATGAGCAGAATAATAAAGCTACCAGTGCACAGGGAATACTGGTGAGAGACAAACCATGCAAACCCATGAAGAAGCAGTAACTCAAATCCGGAATATGGAAAAGTCTGTGAGACACGTGTTCTAGTTTCTTGTACAATTAAATAACCTGGAAAAGGCGGGGGTGGGGGAGGACTATTGCGATGAGAACAGACGGTCGTCTAGGAGGTGGCTCAGAGCAGCAGACCAGCGAGAGAGCGGACTGGAGGGAGAAGCAGGGGCACGCGCTGCCCACACTGCGTTTCCTCCCCCACGCCTCCCCTTCCGCCCTGGCTGACTCTCACCTGTGAGACCCCCTTCCTGGGGAGGCCTTCTCTGACTGGCCCTCCTCATCCAGGAGGGGTGATGTATTTCCACTCTCTGCCCCAAGGGCCCCCTGGCATATGACTTATGAGACTGAACATTGCAATTACACATCTTTTTAATTAAAAAAATGGAGGTAATTGTAAATCCACACGCAGTTAAAAGGAATAATACACAATGTTATTTACCGCACATGCGGATTCCTCGGACCACCACCACCGCCAGCGAGAGACAGAACATTTCTGTCACAAACAGTCCCTCCTGCAGGCTTTTTAATGGCCTTTCTCTTATCTGTTTCCCTCATCGTTCCGTGAGTACCACGGGCCAGGGGTCTTAGGTTTAATCTCGGTGTCCTGGTTTGTGCTAACTCCAACCGGCACGTGGCTTTTAGGGGGTCCCACGTGACCTCCGTGGAATAGATGCAAATTCTATGACAGTAATAGAGTAGAGAATTAGGAAGGCTTTGGGAAAGAGGGAGGGAAAACGTCGGAAGTAGCAACGTACTAAAGAGATACAATGTATCAGACCTTTTCTTTCATAGAGGATTGTGAAGATCTCAGGGGTAACTGCCTTCAACGATCACCTGTTCAGGTGATAACGAAGAGAGACTTGCAGCAGGGGAGGGATGGATTTCTCTGTGAAATGAAGCATGAACACCAGACTTTTACTTTCTGGTTCTAATTTGCTTCCTTTGGCATCATCTTTCCATGAATATGGGGGCTTTGAGTTTAATGCACTAGAAAATTATGGACTGGGGACATGTTAGGCCTGGTGGGCAAGCAATCTGAGCAAGGAATGGGAGGCACCTGGCACGAGTCTCAGGATTTATCTCCTCTAGACCATCTCAGGACAGACTTGGCAGAGGGCAAGTTTTCTGTCACTGGGCTTAGCCCAACTCTTGTATTTCGTCTTGCTAGTGGAAGAATTTTCAGAAAATGTCTTGGAGTAGCAGGGACCCTTTAGATGATCCCCAACTACCTAGTCATATGCCTCATTGATGCAAGAAGTCACCTGTGAGACTCCTGACTTGCTAGGTTCCGTTGAATGAACAGGTGTCAAAGCAGGCCAAGCCCAGGACTTGAGAGCACAGTGGCCAGTTGACCCGTCATTGAGATCATTAAGTGTCAGGTCTTCACGTAAGGGAAAGGCTTGTTGTATGTCAGGCTTTGCACTAGTTGTGTAGATAAAGGGATAAAGAAATCCTGTCACTCATCCATACATCATCCCATCTGCCTGCTCGCCCATTCATCCGCCCATCCGCCCATCCACCCATCCATCCATCCATTTTTAGGTCCAGAGTACAAAACTTGTTTAGTAGCCCCAGGGAACATGGGAAAGGTCACTGAGCCAGCAGCAGTCTTTTGAGTTGGTCTGCAATGTCTTCTAGACACAAACATATCTTGGCCTCTTAGACACAACAAGAACACTGACCCCTCAGAATTTATGCGGAAGAGCTTATCGGTGACAAAAAGAACCAATGTTGTTTTCCTCCTGCTTTAAGTAGGAAATAAACTTGAGCAGCTGAACAGAAAAGGAAACTAGTGTTGTGGATATGTTCCGCACACCCTACTCCCAGTACTTAATATGTTCTACGTTTTGGTTTCCCAGAAGTGAAAACCTCATGGCATATTATTATTTTTTCCCCACTGGTATCCGTTCACCTCTCCAGAGGAATCCACTGTCCATGGAATGCACTGTGATGATTTCGTTTCACCAGGGGAAGAACAAGAACCTCCTCACACCCTCAGTAAAGCCTTCACCAGGTCCCCCCGTGATGGAGCACACCTCACAGCCAGAAGTCCACGTCAGGGGGCCCCTTCTCATTGGTCTCCCCATCGTGAAGGCCAACTGATTTGGATGGATTTGAATATTCTCTTGAAGGTTTAAAGGTGTGTGTCCTTGAACCCAGTTTATGGGCCCAGGCGCTCCCCTGAGACAACAGAGGGTAGGTACCGGATGATGAAAGCTCCCATCATTCTGCACTGTGCTGATCTTCTCCAGCTCTCAGAATTAAAATATAACTGGCTGGTCACCTAACTTATTCAAATACTGTGATATATTCTCATGGCAAGCGCCCTTATGGCAAATTCTTGTCTATACAGATTTTGCACAAATCTTTACATTATGCTGCTGGAAGCTGGACAGAGAAGAGGCACAGTGAGCCAATAAAGGGGAAGGAGAAAAGATACAGGGAAAATAAAGCCAGGACTTAAAACTGTGCCCTCGCTGGTGTCTTAGAGGAGTAGAGGCACTATGACGGGTCCGAGAAAGGAATGTAACCGGATCAGGGCACCATGGTGTTTTCAAGTTCACTGGAATGAAGTTGGTACAGCCACCTCTCTTTACATGACTTATGAGGTTAAGAGAACTATTACTGACAGCATGTTCAGAGACAGGACTTGGGAGTCGACACTTACATCTTGTCTTAACAAACCCTGATGGATGGGATGCTCGGATTGTTTGGGAGAGTCATTTTGGCTCTCGAGGCTTTGTTTCTTCTCTCTAAAATGTGGGAGCTGTGTCAAAGGACCACAGAACTGCCATCCTCCAAGTCCACACATCTGTACGTGTAGCCATGTTTTTCAAAGCTACTTCTGTTTCAAAGCACGTGGCTATGTCCCCGCCCAGTGCCTGGGCGTGGTAGCCAGAAGCGACACCTGCTTTCCATCTTATTTCATCTTGGGAGCCCCTGGGGGGTGGCAGTATACCCGCTGGAGTATCATCTCTGTTGCAGAAACAGTTAGCTTCACTCAAAGTATCTACCAAGACCTATATTATCATTAAAGCGAACACTCCTTTGAACAGTGCTTCCGAATTTCTGTGGGAAAGAAAAGTCTTGCCCAAGTCACAGTGGGGATGGGCAGGGCCAGGACCGGATCTCTCCTGACTTCTGAGGGTCACAAGCCTGCACTGCCTCTCTTTTTCGTCCTTGCTGAGATGAGCTTACTTGGGTACCAGATGGGCTCCCCTTGCTCTGGGGGTCTCCACTACAGCCGAGCTCAGTGGAGTCCGGCACCTGCACCCAATCAATAGGGCTGCTGCTATTATCACTAATCATCAGCTTATGGAGAGAAGGCATAGAAACGTATGACTTGGCTTGTTTTTGTTTCTGAGAATCAGAAGTTAGTGCTTGTTCCTTGGAGGAAGTTCTTCGGCTGAGAAAAAAAAGAGAAAGAAAATCATATAGACCAAAGTGACCTTTTCCCCCAGCTGTTGTGCTGAGCACAATGCTAATTAGCCAGGTTCTAATTGGGCTGGAGACCGAGAGCAATGGGGGTGTCACTCTGTGAAGATGACACAGTCCGCAGGGTCCCCTGCTTATTCTCTCGGTGATTCCTGCATTCGATTTGTTCAGTTTGCTGGTCACAAGCTGGTTGTTCAGACGAAATGGCTTGGCAGCTCCTTCCGGGCCTCTAAGCCAGCAGCCAGGAAGTTAGGAGGGGCCCTGGGATGGTGAGGGAGACCACAGTTTGGGTTCCCCCTTGACGCGCCCACCCTGGCTTTGCCCAAGCAGGAAGAAAAAAAAATCACAGACCCACTGTCGGTCAACCATGATGGGCCTTCTGCCAAGGAGGGGGGAGCAGCAGGGCCTGGGAAAGGAGGACCTGTGCGAGGCAGCAGCCCGGGCACTGGAGCCTCCCCGGCGCCGAGTCACCGAGAGGGCTGAGGGGGAGTGTTGCGGGGTGAGGAGCCCGGGCTCAGACCAGCCTGCGGTGAACATCCTCCCACACCAAGGAGCCGAGATGACTGCACAGGGCGCGGGCGGGCGCAGAGTGTGGGGAGGAGGTGCAGGCTTGGGAAACAAAACCGCCTCCTCTCTGTCTCCCCTGATGGGAAGCTGGGGCCAGCAGAGGGGGCTGCTGGGGGACACGGAGCCACCAAAACCACTTGGCTTCTGGTTGCTTGGACTTGAGGTCTAACCTAAGCCTTGAGACATCGCAAGAGAATAACTCCAGGTCCTTTCATTCTAGTGCAGACTTCAGAGATGATGTTTGCATATAAGAAAAGAAAACAATGATCCAAGTCTCTTGTGTTACTTTCCAAAACCCCCAATGCATGGGTTTAGGGGTCCCCGACAAAAGACCACAAGCATCTTCATAACCTGCCCACCTTAATAATCTTCAGGATGTGCCCACCCCCATGTCAGCTGTTACATACTTCTTTTACAGAGTTTATCATGGACTCTTACTTGTCATTTTCTCCACGTACTTATGAGCTCTTCGAAGGCAGGGATGGAACCTTATCCTCACATCTCCACAGGAGGATAGTAGAAAATGGCTTATTACATGAAAAAGGGGATGGATGAATGAAAAGTCAATAACTTTGGAAATTAGATATTGCTAAAAATATAAGAGAGGGTGTTTCTTGGGTGGCTCCTGGGACCAGAGGGCATTTCCTTGTCTCAGGATCCCATCAAAAAATCCGACTCCTGCTCCAGACTTGCACATTCACGTGAAGGCTAAAGTGTACTTATTATGTGTCACTACGATTACAACCAGATAAACATGCACCCAAAACATGCACCCACCAAAAGACTAAATACATAAGAGCAGGACTTGCTATCTAATGTTAATGAATTATGTGTTTGTGGGCCTTTTTTTGGTTTTCCCTTTTTTTATCTACATTTCTCATCAGTACAGTACAAAAGAATGCTCTCTTTTTTGTTTGTTTTTGACTTTACCAGAAGTCACACTTGCGTGAACACAAAAAGCTAAGTTTCTAAGTAAAGGAAGCAATAGGCTTGTCCCCTTGCACATTGACTGCAACACTGGGGCAGCCATTTGCATTAATATGCACCACATCCTTTCGATGAAAAACCCGATGCATTTTCAGTGCTTCTTTGGCCTGAGCCTGTGACCCTCTCCCTGACCCAGCATCCATGGGGTCAAAGGTCTTCTTGGCAATGAAGAGTAAAAGTCTCACCAAGAAGTAGGTATTGTGATTTCTCTCAAGAAGCAAATCTCCTTTCCCGAAGCATTCCCCCACTGCTTTAGACTCTGATGAGAAGAAAGAGGTAGCATTTGAGAAAACCATCAGGTGGTTGTTAAAGGGGACAAAAGAAAGGAATTGTCATGAGCCTCTGCAGCAACATCAGTTGAAATGCCACGCAGCCAGCCTCTGTTGTCCTCCTTCCCTCCCTCACGTGACATCTGTGTCCAGTCTGTGGGTCCCATCTTGAGTCCACTCTCGGTCCATCTTCACCCGTTTTTGTGTATGCATTGCCTTTTTGAAACAGCTTAATTGGGATATAATTCAGATAGTAAACAATTCAACCCAGTGAGCAATCCATACCTTTAAAATACTGTCACAGATTTCTGCAATGGTCACCCTTCTCTAATTCTGGTGCATCTCACTCCTCCCCCCACAAACTGTAGCCCTGGGCAGTCACTCATCATTTCCTTTCCCCCAGCCCCCAGTAACTGCCACTCCAGTCCGTGTCTGTGGATTTGCCAGTTCTGGACAATGAGTATAAATGGAACCATGGAAAATGGGGTCCTTTGTGGCTAGCTTCTTTCATTTAGCATAATGTTTCTAAAGTTCATCCATGTTGTAGCATGAATCAGTGCTTTATTCCTTTTTATGGCTGTGTAATATTCCGATGTACAGATGCACCACATTTGGTTTATTCATTTCTCTGTCGATGAACATCTGTGCTACCTTCCCCTTTGGGCCACTATGAATGATGCTGCTATGAACAGCTGTGTGCAAGTTGTTGTGTAGACACGTATTTTCATTTGTCTTGGGTATATATACCTAGGAGCAGAATCATTGGGGCATGTGGTAAAGCAATATTTAATTGTTTGAGGAACTGCCTGCTTTCAGCCTCTTCAATTTTTCCCCCAAGACTGCACAATGGCCTCTTGAGTGTTTCCTTTGCTCCCAGATTTCCCCCCTCCTTCCCACCTCACCTCCTTACCACAGTGGCAGGGAGCAAAGACTCTCATCCGACAGGCACCTTTAGAACTTGCATAGGGAACGACACGGACAAAGAACTTCAAGCATAAGCTGGGTCACATTACTTGTTGCACACTGCTCCAAATAGTTCATTACACCTGGAATGAAAGCACAGCTCCTGAGTAAGGTCTAGAAGGTCTGGAAGGGTCTCCTCTGCCTCTACTTCGCCCTCCCTCTTAGGGTTTCCAGTCTGGCCTTCACTGGACCCTGGCTCTTTCCAGCACTGCACCTTTGCAGGCAGCCCCTATTTTGTTTCCTCTGCCTGAATTAGAACAGGCCGATCTTCACAAA